AATCGCTGTCACCAACAAACACGTTATCTGGGTAAGAGTCTCGACACAAACACGACATTCGTCCTAACTATCTTACATAAAATATGAATTTGTTGCTATTAAGTGTTCGATCTGTGTCCACAGATTGATGGAATACAAATGACCCAGACCACTTTCTCTCAGAACAACGTGGTAATTGAGGTTTCTGATGGTACGGTGAGAATTAACAGCTCCACCACCGTTCAGCTGTCCTTCAGTCCAGCTAATGAGCTCACCATAACCGTCAGTGACGATGTAGCTGACACAATATGTGGAGCATGTGGGAAGCTGGAGGGTGTTGGCACAGCAACAGGAGATCTGAGACAGAAACTGCTTGTGTCGCTTCACAAGATTCCGTTTTCCTTAGCGTCGCTGGACATCGGCCAATGGACGGGTCCCGATTTCCCCGTATGGTAAGTAAAGGATCTCTAGCTAATAACTTATAAAAATGTTGTTAGATATTAAAGCATCAAAGCACTAAAAATGCATGTGTACAGAGTGTAAGACTGGGATTATTCATGAAAGCCTTGACTTTTGATGTAACTAACCCTAAACTGGAATGAAAAAAAATCCGAAACCAAATGTTAAGGTTCAGTCTAGGAGGGATCCAAAAATGCAACACAGGGTTTAAGGAGTGAAGAAAAGAGGGATTTATTCAAAGGCTGAGGGGAAGCAGGAGACACCGGGGAACTCGTGAGGGAAGCCAAGTGAGGGAGGGAATTCCAGGGGAGGTTTCCAAGAGGGACCGGGAGACAGGACAGCTGGGGTTGGAGTTCGGCTGCCGAAGCTGGGCTGGGGAGGCGATGATCCATCAGGGAAGTTCTGGTTATAGACGCAGATGAAAGCAAGCGTGAGACAAAGCGAGCTACACAAAGCACAAAGTTTCTTAGCATACTGCTGGCCTGTTACCACTCAAAGCAGGATAATCCACTGGTGCTGGAGCACAGGTGGAGGCGGGCTTTTTATCCAGCACTGATTACTGATGAACCTCAGGTGTGGAGGAGAGTGAGCGAGCGCTCTCCCGACCGAAAACCCCACCCAGCCTGGAAAACACTCGTGCAGCCAGCAAAACACAAGCACACACACTAAACCATATCTCACAATAAAAACGCAAAAACTCAGATCACCACACCAAAACCCCTTCTAGAAAACAATATGACATCAACCAAGACAACGCAATGAAAAAATGAATTAGTCAACTACTGAAGAAAACCCAAAAGAAAACAGGATAAACTTCAAAGACAGATGCCCAAAAAACGAGACCACGATCTCTATTCAAGAGCACAAATCAGAACAAACCCAAACCTAACAGAGAAAGTCAGAAACCAAACCCCCCCCCAAGGAAACAATACAACACTAACCATGACAACGTGCGACAGCCAGTGCATTTCCTTTGACTACCCAAACCCCAAACTGCCGCGTCGACAGGCACGGAAGGGGAAGTCATCGAGACAAATTTTCAAAACCCTTGAACTGATCCGGGGACTCCATAGTGGGTCAAAACAGCTGATAACCAACAACACCAGTTTCCTGATTTGTCAAATAAAACACATGCAGTCTAAATGGACACACAGGGAGCTATAAAATTTAAAAAATGGAAAAAAAAACCCTGCCATTTACAGTAGTTTTCCTGCATGTCTGCTGCAGTGAGAGCAAGCAAAGTAGAAAATGTTAAAAACTGCACATACATGTTTTTGATTTCTTCCTTCTGGACTCTTATATGCAGACGGTGTAAATGTTGTTATTGATATATTTTGTCATCCGTTAAAATTTCAGCTCAACAAATGTTTTTTCTGTTTATTTTCCAGTGAGTGAACTCCATCCTCCTGCCAGCTTTCAATCAGCTGCACTGATTACCATCCGTCCTTCATCGTTACTGAACCGACGGCATCATCATCGATTCATGAGATTATAACATAAGCATCTTTACACTCACATTTACGTCCAACCTGTTGGCAATAACACAGTTTAATGCATGTCTGTAATGTCACTTTTACTGATGTCTCGCTCTATAATGATAATGATAGGCGCTCTGATGTATGCTCAATAAATTATTTTTCTGTGCATCCTGTGCAAGCGTGTCGTGTTCTGGTCAAACAGCTGCAGTGCTGTTAGACTTTTTGCAGTCAAGAAAAATGTCTGTTTTTTTTTTTTACTCAACATTTCCTTTATTTAAATTTAAGAAGTAAGGCCTCTCCGGCATCTCTGTGGCTGTTTGTGTTTATTGACTGAACCTCAACACAACAACATGAGAGGAAGCTAACAAACCTGCTCTGACGCCTACACGTGCCCACAGTGACCCATTCGTTTTGCATATAGACCACAGAGGTGGCGTCACGCTCGCTTTGATGCTCCTTAATCACGTAGGCTGAGCTGCAGCCTCAGCCAGAAGAGTTTTCCTCCCACTGCTCCCGGAATTTTGTACAAAAGAAACTCCCCTCTTGTTAGTGAAGCAAACTCCTAAATGATGATGAATGAAGAGTTGGCACCAAAGCATTTAACGAAGTGGCATTACCTGCTGGTCATTAAATGCAACAAAGGAAACTGAACCTTTTACGTCAGGATTTAGCAATCTGGCATTTTACATGTAGGAATAAGACACTTGATTAGATAAAACAAGTGTTTGTCTGTCTGTTTATCTCTGTTGTCCTTTACCCTCACCCAGGGAGGAAGGTCAACACAAACATACAGGTTTTATTTGTCTTATTGTGTCTCACTTCTGCAAATTCTAGAAAATGTAAACAAACAAAGAATGAACATCAGTTATAAGAAAATATATAGTGAAGATTGCCTGTATTGGCTTGGGATTATAAATACAGATCACAAGCTCTGTTTGTGTTTCTTTCTCTCAAAACATCCTCAGCGAAGCAGATGGCAGCTCAGTGATAATAAAACTATGAAAACATCATATTATGTCTAGAATCCTTCCAGTGAAAGTCATTCACAAGCAGCAGAAGAGAGAAAAACTTCACCTACTTTAAAGATGCACAGAGAAAGGAAACGTTTGAAAGGTCCACCAACGCTGTAATAAAGTTGTTGTTATTCTTTTTATCACTTTACTCTTTTATTTCCAACTAACTAAGTCTTTATCAGAGCATCACTGAGTACGAGAAATACTGTAACTGTGATTAATCACATCTTAGGACTGTGATGATGTGCACAACTTTGCCTCCAGGCTGCTAAAACTAAACAGATATATGAAATCCCACAACTCCGGTGTAACTGGATTAGACCGGAGACGAATGTTTTTGCTTTTGTGGTACAACTTGTCAAACCTGCTCCATCAGTTAAGAAGGTTCAACAAAAAAAACTTTCTTTTTTCATTTTTATGTCCATCCATCCATTATCTATACACCACTTAATCCTCACTAGGGTCATGGGGGGCTGGAGTCTATCCCAGCTGACTCAGGGTGAAGGCAGGTTCACCTGGACAGGTATCCAGTCTATCACAGGGCTACACTTAGAGACAGACAACCAAGCACACTCACATTCACACCTACGGACAATTTACAATCACCAATTAACCTCAGCATGTTTCTGGACTGTGGGAGGAAGCCGGAGAACCCGGAGAGAACCCACGCTGCACGGGGAGAACATGGAGACTCCACGTAGAAAGATCCCGGGTGTTCTCACCGTGGCGCGGACCAGCGACCTTCTAACTGCGAGGCAACGATGCTAACCACCGCTCCACCTTGCAGCTCTCTTATAGGAATCTTTGAAATGTAAATATATGTCCGCAAGACAATTAGTTGAATTTTAGGACGTGAGCAACCACACGTACATCCTCACAGTTTGTGGATAACAACATGAGACACAACAACTGCTCAGCGTTTCTGGTTTTGTGGGAACCATCCTCTGATAACGGAGCACACACTCATCCAAACAGGGATGACGGAGTTTGTCGTAAGCTCTGTGAAGTTTCGAGAATGAGCTCTGAATGGTTTTAATAAACGTGCGGCATTTATCAACCACTGTGCCCACTCAGCACAGATAAGATCAACTAGGGCGGATTTTTCTTTTTCCACTCCTTGGCTAATTAAAAAGAGCGTCACAATGTAAGGGCTTTAATTGGACTTCGTGTTGGTTACATCCTGTTTGAAAAGTGGTGAGTGGGCTTTTTTCCTTTTTGTCTCTCTCAGTTTTGGTCTCCTACAGTTTTAGTTTCAGTGCCTTTGAGGTATTTCTCAAACTTGATGATGAAGGATTGCAAATTTGGGATGAGAAGTGATGCCTCAGACCTCCACCTGTTGAGGGATGATCTTTTCTAGTTTGACACAGACGGCTTCTTTCACTCCTATCTCAAACCATCTGTACATTACTGTCCTCAAAGGAATGTCCTTTGGCCTGAAGATGCAGGTGGACTGCTGAGTCCTGTCCTGAGGAGCTGCTCTTCTTGTGTTACAAGCAAGTCCAGTTTCTAAACTATGAGAATAACCACAAGCTGGATGACTGAGGATCTTCACAGACATCCGAATGTACCTGTAAATGAAACGTGTTTTATAAATAAAATCTGCAGACTCGATGGCTATTTAGCATAGAAATGAACCATGCGTGTCAGTTGTCTTGTATTGTTATGGTGGTGAAGTCATAGAAATATTTTGTGTTTCCCTGTGAAATTATGCACAAAGAAGTCATGATTTGTGTTAGTTCTGAGTCACGCCTGCACTTTTCCTGTTATAAAGAGTCAAATATCTGCTTTAATAAATGTCTGTTATTATAATATCATGACTCTCCTGTGACTTATTTCCACTGTGACTGCAGACTTCCAGACTAACCTTCATACGTCAGCATTTATCAGTGAACTCATTTTGTGTTTAACTCAACTGGTTCGTGCACCACAACATCCCCTCCGACGCCCACTTCCAGGCATTTCACTCCCACACTTGCACCTCCTCTTGCCTATATAAGCCGCTCAGGGATCCTGCTGTTAGAGAGAAATCAGCTACTTCACTGTTCTGATCCCACTACATCACCGTGCAGCCATGACTTTCATTGGAGGCCTCACTGGACTTTGGATAGTCGCCCTGGTGGCGGTTCATGGTGCAAATCTGAGAGGTAATTTCGACTCTCTGAGCATTTATACTTCATGCACTCTTCAGGCTGCAGTGCTATTAACCTCTGTGTTGCTTCTGTATTTCCACAGAATCCAGGAAGAACTTTCTCAACGAGCCAGACGTCCCCTTCCCGCCCGCCCGTCCCACCGCTCACAACCTCGCCGCCATCTGCCACCAGGGTCAGGGTCGCCCCAGGTACCCGGACAGCTTCTTCCCACCTAACGGTTTCAGCCACTTCCGCCGCCGGGGAAAAGCCATCAACCGCCTGGAGTCGTGGTACTCGATGTGCTGCAGCGGACGAGTAGCTCAGCAGAGCAGCCAGATCCTGTGCTGCACCCAGCAAGCTGTGAGTCCACACGACATGTTATACACGGTACAGGAGATCCCTGGTATCCCTGACTGATAGTAAAGATAATATTTAGGGTGAGAAACTCTGTCATGTTTGGACAAAGTAGTCTAGTATGCTTTTTTGTATTCAGCATGTACAACTATACTGCATATTCCAGTTTCACTAGAGCCTGATAATATAGCCTAATATTTGTTTTTAGTTGTCTTACTCAAAGCACAGAGTTCATTCTTAAACATTGTTGTTTTCTTATGATGTTTTCCTGCAGGATCTTATTAAATGCAATAAATGAAATTCCAGTCAAAACACAATGCAAATTTGCAGCATGGGTGCTTGCAAAATTATATTAAAAAATGGTGAAATATTGTAAAATGAAACCAGTGACAACTAGTGAAAATAGCAACGAATATCAATAAAATAATTCGATTTTTGTTGCTGATTTAAATAGTTTAAATCACTGTGATTAAATGTTAAAGAACAAAATTACCAGCTGTTAAAATATAAATGTTTGATGTGGACATTGTGAAGAGTTTGGTTCTGTTTTTGTTTGTTTGTTTTGTTTTTTTCTTTTAATTTACAGTCAATGTGTAAAAATAACACTTATTTCCCCCCTGTGATTTTACTGGTCATTATTTGTAATTTAAAAGGCAGAAAATATATAAAATACCAGTCAAATAATTCATTTTTAAATCCCTAATATCATTTTTTAAATTAACAAATATCTAAAAAAATATATTTTTGTGTGTGTGTGGATTTAAATACAGTGATAAATAGTTTAATTTTATGGTCAAACATGATTTTAAAAAATAAATAAAAGAATTACCTTTTGTACAGATTTTTAATGTTTACAGTTTTAGCCTGTTTTTTCCCCCAACTGTTAACTTTTTTTTTCACATAAAAACACTTTAAATGTATGATTTTCATCCTGTATGTATTTTTTTCTTCTGTAAATACTTTTTATCAGTTAGTGAAGGTCAGTGTAGTTCAAGTTTCAAGTAATAAATTAATTTTATGATTTAAATGAACCCTATCTACATTGTAAAAAAAAATGGTCAGATTTACTTTAAAAGCTCAAATTTGTGTTTTAGTTCATGGGGTGATTAAAGGATAAGCATCAGTAAAACTCAAGAAAAGTTTTAAAGGAGTTGCTGTTTGGGTCAAAGTCTTCTGTTGCACTCGTGCATAAAGGAGCAGATTTAACTGAAGCCGGATGAGAGTTTGTGAGGACAAACTGTGTCTCTTTCTTGCTTTTGCTAAATGAAGATGTCTCCCAGCTGTCTGACACTCATTTTTCTTTCCTCGTAGTGGAAACAAGCCCTGTCTCAGTTCTGTGTGGACGAATACTCCATCATGACCGCCCCGTTCGTCTGCTGTGAGGCCTCCGGAGATGCTCGCTGGAAATGCTTCAATGACGGGCCGACAAACCCGAAGTACAACCCGATACCAGGCTACACCGCCCCGCCGATGAACTGGGAGCTGGGATTCACCTTCAACCCCAGGGCCTGCTAGAGCTGAAAGCAAGAAACGGAGAGTTCAGAGGAAAAATCAACAGCGTTTTAGGACAAGTGGAAGATAATGCTGAGCTGATGCTGTATATTAATGCATTTTCAACATGCTTACATGCTTTGTTTAAGTGAAGGATCAACCAGAGAAGTGATATTTGACTTGATTTAAGTGTTTCAAAGGAAAAAAAGGGGAAAAAAGTCACTGATGTAATAAAACAAGTGTTCAGCAGGGGTCATGGTTGGCTGGAGGAGGTGGGGGAATGTTTCATGTCAGTGATAAAAGTTTAAATGTGCTGCCCAGCTTGAATAGAAACGTGCTGTAAAGGGACACAAATAAACACTCGACAAACATCTTGACTGAGTCGTGTCACTTTGTATGTGGTACTGTCAGAGAACTGTGACAATTCAAACCACAAAGATCAAAGTATGAGCAGAAACAAGACTCCTGATTGAGTCATTTGTCTTCAAGATAAGTTTCTGAGTCAACATTAGTAGAAACACAATGCAGGAAACATTTGCTAAATATTACTTTTCCTACTGTCACCTTGTGTTTAAATGGCAAAAATAAACATTTACTGTCTGAAAAGACTTGAATTTGAATAAATTGTGCAGAGTAACAATGGGTACACACAAACTATTTTGTTGAGGTGGAATAACTAAACACTTTTCTGAATAAAAACAACGTGAAACGCTTCCACATCCTCTTACAACATCTCAGTTGGAAATAGTGTTTTTTTCTACTTCATTTATTTGTCAGATATTTAAAGCAAGATTTTCTACACTTAACTGATGATTATTAAAATCTAAAAGTAAATGAAAAAGCATGATTACTTCTGCTCAACTAGCATGTTTTAATCGCTGCTCACCTCATGTTAATGCAGATATAACAGTTAAACACTGAGGGGAGCCATTTGACTGTTTAATGTGTAATTCTTGATGCTTCAAGTCCGGTTAATGGTGATAGACATAATTTTCAATGCACAGAACGCCACTTTTCTACCGTGTTGTGTAATTTTTCTGATCAATGTCTAACACAAGAACACCCTCCTGGATTATTTAAGGTTCTGTCTTATCTTATATTGTCATATCTTTTGCATGTTCAGTATTTGTCTGTGTCAGTCTCTATCAGGTACAAGTGATGAGTAAGTCTGAACAAATGTAAACAGGTTAATCAGGGCAGGAGGGTGAGACACAGTCAGCTGAGAAGTTAATTGCCCTGATAATTTATTTATTGCTTCACATGACAATAAAGGTCTTTGAATCCTTTATTTGTTTTAAATATATATGTTTATTATGTTATAATATTATATTAATTAACCAAAATAATTAAATATATTTCTAAATATGATTAATAAACGTTAAATGTTCAGCTACACAATAAAGTTCTTTGCGGTTTATTTTAATGCGTTGCTTTTATTGTGAAATCGTGAGTTCTGATTCCCGGATGTGCTGCGCTAACTCCGGCTAACAGCAAAAAACTGCCGCTTCCGCACTGCTTCCTTGTTTATTAGTTTTAGGGAAAACAGTGTCTCAAGAAGATAAAAGTTTTTTTTTCTTTTTTTAGTTCGTTTCCTCCGGCAGCTGCCAGAACTCCTCCGCAGGACTTTCGGGTGAGTTGACTTTGAGTTTGTGCCGCTTTTCGGTAGTTACCGGCTCGGCTAGCTTAGTTAAAGTTAGAAAAGTTGAAGCAGAGTTAGCAGCTAGCCTCCCTCCGTCCGTTTGGCTCAGTGTTGTAACCCAGACCGTGTCGTTAGCTGTCACGCTAACCTGTTTCAACACGTACCGGTCTTACCATTCATTACTGCCCTCCTAAAGGCGCTTTACCAGCCAGTGTTAGCCGAGTTGTTTGGCGGGAGGTTGCTGTTAAAAGGTGCCGTTTGCGTTCCGATAAGAGCCCGTCAACGTGGCTGCTGCTGCTGCTGTCAATATTTGTGGCGTGAAATCATCCGGAGTGCTAATGAGCTGCTGTTTCTCCTCACAGGTCCGCACCGTCGTGAAGCGATCACGGCTGATTTGGTGACTTTTTTTTCTTTAAGGACCCGAGTTTCATCCAAACCAAGTTGAGTCTGAATGGCCACAGCTGCTGAGGAGCCTCCAGGGCTGCAGGGCCACACTTCCAGTAAGTACCCAGTTATTATGGACATAGCATCCTTAATTTAAAGACATACATCAGGTTTGTTTAGCTTCATGACTTAATACAGATACATGGTTCGAGTTATGTAGTTGGACGTGTCTGTGCATGTCAGCAGATATAATTGGACTTATTGCTAAAACATATGAGTCACGAATTTGGTGAGTTTTCTTCTTTTATTGACAGAAATCTTAAATGATCATGGCATATGTGCTGCCGTCTGAACCAAACAAATATCCTTCTTTAGCAGATTGTGATTTATGAGGAATGTTTTGTAGGAATTTTACATTTATTGTACAAATTGCAACCCCTACGATTGTGATATTATTTCAGCTGAACCGTTCAGCTCTGGTTGGACAGTTGGTTCATTCATGTAAATGCTAGTTCACACACTCAGACTTTGTGAGGATGTCCTCATTTCATTTTCAGTTGTTGTTGAAACATTTGGAGAAGTGGTCACTGAACTTTATCATTTCATAATTCTGGAGTTTGTGGGTCTGTTGGATTGTGTTTTGTAGTTTTGTTTTGTTGCCAGGGTCGGTCTGATACTCGGGCTTGACTCACGTCCACAACATCCCCCCTGAGAATAAACGATAACAGGATCTTGGACGCGTCAGAGGACAGTTTCTCATATTCCAGTTATACAACGGCACAGAGATGAAACAGTTAAAACCACGAAAATAAGTCGCTGTCATAAAAAGCCCTGTAGTGAGTGAAGTGAAAACCAAAGTTAACTAACCTATACAACGAAAAAAACATATGCATAGAACAAACCATCGCAAAATATGAATGTTAATGTTCAGCTTTAAAAGACTACTGGACACCTGTGTATTCATTCACCATCAAATTGTAATTTCAAGAATCTTAAATCAACTTTAATGATTTTCTACATGTGTTACAGAGATATATTTCAAATATTTAGTCTGTTTTTATTGACAAAAAAAGGGTGTCCCGACAAATAAGAATAAGAAACTGACAACGGGGTGTAACAGACAACAAACTTTGAGTCATTTTTGCCTTTAAATAAATTCCGGGGACTCTTAAAGGTCAGATTAAAATAAAAAAAGAATAGTAAGCTTTATTTATAGAGCATTTTCCAATAAAATAAATGCAAAATTAAGATAAAATAAGCACACAGAAAACTAGAAAGCACACAAAACCGAAGAAGAAGCTACAAAACATAAATAAAATCAGGAAAAGCTCTCCGATAAAAAATGTGTTTTAAGGAGTGACTTAAAAGAGGGCACAGAATCAGCAGACCTGATTTCCTCGGGCAGGTCATAAAGAAAACGGATGTTCTAGAACTTGTTGTGTACTTCTTTGCAAGAAAGCAAGTAAGAAACTTTCTCAACAAAAGGGCAAATTGTTCCTGTAGAAAGTGTCCTTATTTCCTTCAGTTTTTCCCTTAATCAAATACTTTATTAAAATACTAATAATAAATCGTAGGGTTGACATGACACCGTCCTGGAGTGCACCTGCTATGTATTTACTTGCACTACCGGTTGAATTTATCAGCTGAATTTCGTTTGATGCTGGCTGATGTTTCACTTTCTACCGTGTGTTTTCTTAGAGACAATAGCAAACTATTTATTGTTGACTTTGGAATCCAACGAGCATAGCTTTCTGTTACTGACGGGGCATTTGTTGGCGCTGTTTGAACGTACTTTAATAGCATTTAATTCCTCCCATTGCACGCAAAGACCTGCAGAGTCAGTTCTGGAGGAGACTGTCTTCTCTCAGAGGTAACCAACGAGGTGCGTCTGCATGCTGCTTGTGTCGGCTGCGCTCTCTGTTTTCAGTGTTAGGGATAGAACGGTAGCAGCTGTTTGGAGTTTTTTGACGTGAATGCATCCCGTGTTAGAAGTCTGTCTGCTTGATTAGCTCATTTTCTTTCCTTTGTGTGTATTCCTGTTGTAACTCGTGTGTTCTGTTGCTTCAGATTCGACCGGGACTCGAAAAAATGCTTCGGCCGAGGTGAGAAACGACGGCTTTGTTGGGAGGAAATGTGTAACCTCCATTTGTGTCAGCAATGTGGAATTTGCCAGTATTTTGCTGACATGTGGTCAATTCCTTCCTGTTAGAAACACGAGAACATGTTGCTGCATATTTACGACGAGTTCTTTTTTTTTCCTCTTGTGATGCTCTTCTGTTTGTACCCACAGGGTCCAAGTCCGCACATGTCTCAGGCCATGAAAAAAACTATCGGCCATCGTGGAATCGATCCCACTGGAGAGACGACGTACAAGAAGGTGAGAGATCAGCCATCACAGACTGAAGCACGTAGACTTTCAATATCTATTTCTTTGCCCATTGATTTCCCAACAAATTAATAAACGATGTTGTTCATCGTGACTTTCAAGAGTCCAAAGAGGTCTGCATATGTCTCACTGTGCTGCCCTTCTAATCTCAGAGTCTCCAGATCATCAAATAAATATTGTTTCAAGTCCTCAAAATCAGGTTTTAAATACCATTTTTTTGTCTATTTCTCATGAAGTTTGATTGTAACGGGTGTTCCAGTCGGGATTCTTTTGGCCCTGATCTCAATCACTGGGAGCAGAATAAATGGGTCTATTTTAAGTCTTCTACTTTTAGTCTAACATTATTTATGCTGTACATACACAGTAGTACAGGCAGGATGAGAGAGCGTTTCTTCAGGATCCAATAACTTAAAGCAATTTAAATAAACAAGTGTTTGCGTGTCTGGATAAGCAGTTCAGCATTCCGACAGCTTGTGGCATGAAGCTGTTGGAGGTTCTTCCTTTAACACTTCGGAAACGTTTGCCTGATGGCAGCAGTTCAGACAGTTCATGGAGAGGGTGTGAGGAGTCCCTGACAATGTTCAGTGTCCTGCTCCTGCAGCGGCTCTGGAAAAGTTCTTGGACAGAGGGGAGGGAAACTCCGATGAACCTCTCAGCTCCTCTAACTATCCTCTGCAGAGCTTTTCTGTCTGACAGACTGCAGCTGGAGCACCATGTGGAGATGCAGGATGTCAGAACGCTGAAGGATTATAATTGAGAGATGAGATAGTATCATGAATTGATTTATTTATTTATTGACATGTGCAACAAGTTCCACTCTCTCTCTCGAGACGCAACTTAAACCACAGCACATATGTTGAGAACAGCTTAAAGCTTAAGAAATAAAGACGCTTTTTAAAAAAAAAAATTAAATAAAATTCAATTTTACCAAAAAAAAAAAATTAGAATAAAAACTGTAAAAACTAAAATCAATACTAATAATTGAAACAACACACAGGGGCTTGATTAATATAATATAACCAAAATACTGTTTCAGGTCAGTCAGCCCTCAGCGTTTCCTTTGCATTCATAGGAGATAATAGGCAGCTAGCAAGAATCAATCAACGACAATACAGAGCTAGTTAGCTTTCTAGCTATCTGTTCCTTTTTGTGACCAATCTGTTGAGGCTGCTTTCCTCCATGAAGGATTTTTTTGGAGCACATGTCGCAAATTGCTGCGAGGTGGCTCGGTGGTTAGCACTGTTGCCTCGCAGCTAGAGGTCGCCTGTTTGCGTCCCGGTGAGGACACCCGGGATCTTTCTGCGTGGAGTCTCCATGTTCTCCCCGTGCAGCGTGGATTCTCTCCGGGGTCTCCAGCTTCCTCCCACAGTCCAGAAACATGCTGAGGTTAATTGGTGATTCTAAATTGTCCGTAGGTGTGAATGTGAGTGTGCTTGGTTGTCTGTCTCTAAGTGTAGCCCTGTGATAGACTGGTTACCTGTCCAGGTGAACCTGCCTTCACCCTGAGTCAGCTGGGATAGACTCCAGCCCCCCATGACCCTAGTGAGGATTAAGTGGTGTATAGATAATGGATGGATGGACATTGCAAATTGCAAAATGATTGTCTTTTTCTGACACCTGGTAGAAGTGTCAGACTAGTGAAGCCAGTGGAGACTTTCATCTTCTGATTGATCCTTAACAAGACCCCCAGTCAAACTATTTACAAGGAATATCGGTCTGTGATGAACTGGAGCATCCTTATTGTTTATAGTTGGTTAACTCTTTAATCTGCAGTGTTTGAATTTAAACTTGGAGCTCATCTATCAATAGCACAGGGCTATTTGCATTTGTGACCTTTTTTTTTTTGAGAGCGTGCGAGTTTAAGCGGTCGCATTAGTGCGAGTGCTTGATGATCATTAGGCTGTATTAGTGTCGCTGTAACCGCCACAGGAAGCTGCCGTGGTGACCACAGTGGTGGGAAGTAGCACTTTTATAAATTTGGTGTACTTAAAAATTAAGTCTTCTAATGAAAAACAAACCGCAACTGCATTCGCTGTTTTTTACGGTCATAGAAAAGAGCGTGTGAAAACACTCGGTTTCATGTCGCACAAATCCGACATTAGAACGACCTGATTAACTCTTTTTAAAGTCATTTTGGCAGCCTGCAGTGTGGGGCGTTTAGGGAACATCTGTAAATTGTAGCGTCTATCAATGAGAAAATGTTCAGTGAGTCATATGTTTTGCCTGAGACAAAGTGGGAGGTGCTACCAGTGAAAAAGTTAGCCTGGAGCCCTGTAGCAGCGAAACCAAAGTGTTTGTTCCTCTTCGTTTTGTTTATCCGCTGGGTTGAAGCTTTCACGTTCACAGACTTTAAATTCAGATCACATGTGGGGACTTTACAAGATGTTACCAGTAGGACAGGGTGATATGGCCAGAAATAGTTATCACGTTGTGAACAAGAAAATTAGTGATAACGATATGACTGACGTGAGACAAAATACTTCAAGACCTCACAACTTTATTGGTGCAAATAAAAAAACGAACAGTTTATTTTCCATTTAGCAAGCAGCTGTTTCTAATGTGCATTAAAGCTATATGGTAAATCGGACTGCATGGTGGTTCGGTGGTTAGCA